AAAAAAAATAAATCATAACTAAATTTATGCTATTTTTAAGTTAAAATTGTTACACGAACTCTACAGTTTAAGGGATAACTTTTTTAATTAATTTTTTATTACTTATAGATTCAACTCATTTTAGGTTTAGGTTTAATAAACCTAAATCTGAACTACAAATTTTGCAGATTTTTAAATCTGAACCTGAACTAAACTTTGAATTTATAAATCTAAACTAAACCTGAACTTAAAGATTTGGTTCAGTTCAGATTCAGTTCAAGGTTCATAAATATGTTTAGCTTTAGTGACAAAACATAGTAATATATTTATTAAATTTTTTTTTGTCTTTAGAATTTTCAAATTTGGAGTTTTTTAACTAAAATATTTTTCTTTTTAACTTTTAATAAAACTTGTAAAGAAGTGTTTTGCAATAAAAATAGTGGTTAAAATATTAAACTCAGCCTAGTAGATTATAAAATATAAGTATTGTTTGTTGTCTTTGTAATTATATAAAGTACTTTATATTAAAAAGGCTTATTTTGAAGTTTTTTGAAAAATAAGTTTTTAATAGATCCAAGTAAATTTCAACTTGATTAACATTTTTCAATTATAAATAAAAGTCAATTTGTATATAAAAAATAGAGATAATATAAAAGAAAAATTGTACAAGGTTGTCTAAAGCCAAGCATATTACAAAATTACTTGATAGTAATCTGCTATCTTTAACTAATCAAAATCACGAAATTTGCTTAATTCTGAATTAGTTTGAAAATTAAAACAAATGATTAAACTTGATTATCTCAAAATAAAGTATATGATACTTAAGTATATAGTTGGTCTACTAAAACTTCAGTACTTTATATAATGAAATTCTACAAATTTTTATTTCTCTACTTTTTTAGAAAGCCCAAAATCAGTAATATGTATATTATGCAAATATTCTTGCAAAATGTTTCTACTATGTAAGTCTTAGTAATTGAATCTCTATAAATTAATTAATTCACAATTCAAAGCTATATAGTACAAGATATTCAATTTATTTTTCTATTCCAATTTTGATACTTTTATAAGATTTTGTTGTAATGAATTTTCTAGTGCAATCTGCAAAACAATAATATAATTATTATGATAATTTCTTGATACTTCATAACAGTTCAAGAATAAAGAGTTTTCATAACCAATTTCATAGTAATTCTTTAATTCTTGAATAATTCTTGTTTATTTTGTTTGAATCATAAATTACTAACAAGCCTCATATATAGCTGCGAATTCTTTTTTTTCAATTTTTAGTTTTTTTTTTTTTTTAATAATTCAGCAGTTATGCTTTAACTTTATTAGACTTTATACAACTCATCTAAAATATATAAAATTTTACAATCAGGTATTTCAGAAGGTAAATAATAAACTCTTAACTTGTTAGCAGATAGCATGAGATACGGATTATGTATTATAAAAGATAGCTTAAGATTAGTATTCTTTAATAAGCTAGCTTAAATAAGTTTACTCAAAATTCTCATTAGAAGAAGGCCAAAATCAGCTAATATTTTAGGGAATAAAAAAATTATCAGATATATAGTTTTAGCCAATTAAAATTTTTTATTTAATATCAGGTGGAGTTAGGCTCTTAATAAAAAAATATCAGCTGATAAATGGCTTTGCCCTTAGTTTATTAAGGCTTATTTAGTTTTTATACTATAATATATTAAAATATTACTTATTTGTATAGTTTATACTAGGGAACAGTTTTAAAAAACTATTGTCAAGTCTGAAATAAATAAATTATCAAATATAATTATATATCAAAAATGTAACTTTAGTCTATATGTAGACAAATATCCTTTTCAAAGTTATGTTCTTGATTTTATTACTATGATATATCAATATCATAACTTTTGATGTATTAAAAATATAATTTTTAATACACTTTACTTGTCCAATATATATCCTTCGCTATGCTTTGGACAATTATAAACTATACAAATAAGCAATATTTTTATCTACATGTTACTCTGGTTATACCAACATCTGGATATAATGATATTATAGTAAAATCTTTTTATACCAATATTTTTTTTTGAAAATTTAATATAAAATATCAGCATAACTTACTGTACTGACATTTTAAATTTTTTTACTAATATCTCAAAAATGTCAATATAACCAGAGTGATATGTATTATATAGTATAAAAACTAAATAAGCCTTAATAAGCCAATGAGAATTTTAAACAAGCCTATTTAAGCCAGCTCATTAAAGAACACTACTTGAGATATAAACATAAGAATGGCAGTACAACAAGTACTAATTAGAAAGAAGTTACTGAATATATAAGTACTATCATGTGTAATACATGTAATATATTATTAGATTTACCTTGAGAATAAATAATTAGTTCTAAATTGGGTGTGAAATCTATAGATATTACAAAGATTCATGTCTAGATATGGTGAGATTATATCTTGGTTAGGTTGATGATATAATTGGCAGTTGTGACCAAAAGGTTTAAATAGTCAATCCTAGTAAATACAGGCAATTAGTATAGATAATGCTAAAAGTACAGTGACTAGTTGTACTTTCATTACAATTGTAATATTATCATCATTTAATAAAAAGTTCCTGCCCAAAAGATCATCTTAATATATAAAAAAAAAAAAAATTATTAAAATTTAATTACTAAAAGTTGAGATTGTTAAGTTTTTTGCAAAAACTATATAGTATCTAACCAATTGAGATATTAATCAATTTTTTATTTTTTTTTTTAATATTTAAGGTGAGACCATTAATCAATTTTTATATTGTTTGTATATATAAATCTTGTATACAAATAAAAATTGCCTTAACAGTATTATAATATAAATTTTTTTTATTATTTTAGTAGTGCTTTTTTTTTATTGTTTTAAAATTAATTTTTATATTATATATATATGCATTATAACAAATATAACAACTTAATAAAACGATAATTTTTTTTAAAAAAAATTGTTTAAGTTTTTATATACTTTCAGATTATTAGCATGAAAACAACATTTGCTCGGAAGAGGCTTGTATTTTAAAGGGATAACTAATCTATATTATATTGGTACAAATATAAAATAAATAAAATCAATACTATTTTACAAATCTATTAGATAAATTACTGTTGCGTGATACTTGATACTCTAGGTAAAAACGCTCAACACTCCAAAACTCTCTTCGTTCTAACTTTTAATCCTAATTTTAATATTATTATGTGTAACTTAGTATAATTATTATTCAAATATAAAATATATAGTAATTAATGTTAACTGTAAACTTCATAATCACGTATTCTTGTGGTTTAAATTAATAACATCAGCATTTTTAATCTCTAGTTCTAGCCCACACATAAGACGTCTAAGTTGTGTTTTTTGATCATCAGTTAATTCGATGGGTTCTATTATGAATTTACGATCACCTTTTTGCCTTAAAAACACTTTTGAAAAGTAAGTTAAACTATTGATATGATCTATGAACTTAAATCTACACTTTTCCCTTTCTTCTGAATTTCCATAAAATTTCACTTTATCAATTTTCATCGACCATTCAATTAAGTACATTCTTTGCATTAAAAAATAATAATTTGACAGAGGTCCGATGAGAAATATCATAGGTATAAAAAGTATTGCAAAACCAATTCTCCAACAAATTCCTTTAAAACGGATATCATAATGATCTAAATTATCCAAATTATTCGGGTCATCTAGATCCATGACCCCCCAATGAATATTGCATGCGTACTCGATGAAACGTTCGCAAGTAGCTAAAGCTATATTCGTAAACCATGCTCCTCCGATAAAAATGATGCTTAAAGCCAAGTATCGATCTGCATCTGTACTGGTACGATCAACATAACCGATGTTGATTAAAATAGAGATGGTAGCTAAAACGATGACGTAACAAGACGCCAAAATGGCGAGTAATATACCAATATCTCTTTCACGTCTAACAAGTGCATTAATACGCTTTAAAAATTCTAGATATAATTTGTGGTCTTTAGTGCTTATTTGTTTCAAATGATTATCAGATATGGATATCAACATAGGTATAAATACATCTCCGTTGTTGACAGTTCTAGTAGCTTGAATCAATGTTTTGATATTTTCTTTATTTGACATAGCATATTCTCCAATAATCTTTATGAGAGCTAGGATGCCACCGGTAGCTGTAACGCCCGATGTCACAATATTCATAATTTTATCAGTATTTTTACGTTGTTCAATCAAAAGTAAGAATACTCCAATAATTATTGTGATTATCGATACAACAAGATGTGCTATCGTTAAATTCCTCCGGGCTGCTAAATTTTTTTCTGTTTTTTCCCATTCTTCTTTTAAAGTCATGAGGATATACTTTTTTTCCTGAACATCATTCATATTCTCGCTAGGACTCATGTCGAAGGCCTGCCTGTCACACAAATCCTTATAAAGATATTTCAAGTTGACTAACTTTATCTGCTCTTAAAGCAGATAAATCTATGATTTCGGGTCTTGCCAGAGACGAGAAAATCAATTTGACGTTAAAAGAGAATTCTATAAAAAACATGATATAATAAATGGTACAATTTTTATATATATTATACATGTTAACACATAGATAACGATAACTTTGTTATTTCGTTTCTTTTTCTTTTTTGTAATATCTAAATTGACAAATAAGTCATGAATGGAGAAAAATAAAATTGTTAATTGTGTAATTGAAATAATTAGTAGCGTGATAAATATTTACATGATGAAAAAAGACAAAGTAAACAATAAACTGACTAACCAATCAAATCGCAGAAATAATTGTAACGTCTTCGATCTTTCACATATGAATACAAATTAAAATTAATGAACCACATGTTAAGCTCCATACGTAAATAATTTCGATTATTTAGTTGTCAATGGACAGATTCTTTTACGCTTATTACATAGATTTCCAATACAGAAGTACCAGTGCGACAACTTAAATTACCTCGTGATTCTCGGATGGTCAGATCGCTCTTCATTCCTAGAAATTGGGTAGGTTGTTTAATCCGAATAAATTTTAAACACTATCGCTATACATTAAGTCTTAGTAGAAAATAGAATTTCAGAGTTAAGAACTTAATTACAATAGCATACAAGGTATGCTTTAAATATACAAAGCATAAAGTAACAACTCAGTAAGGTAACGTACAATAAGTAGAATATGTCAGTACACGTATTTTTTATTATATATGTCGTATATACCTCAGATTAGAATAGGTGTAGGGTTAAAATTGAGTTGCGTAAAATTAAAATTTGACTCTGGGGTGCGTCAGACTGATTTTGTCATTATGCGTCATATTGAAATACGTACGCATAATGATAATATTAATAAAATAATAATAATAAAATGATAAAAATTTGGTTCGCTTAAAATTTTTTTACATACCATTCATGTATTTTGTATCGAACTAAATATTATGGAGTATTAATTTATTACACGCAAAACTTTCGGTAGCTATTTTAGTAACTTCATTATAATATAATTTATCGTTATATAAAATGTATTTAATTCTTTATATTTATTTAGATTGATTCTTCTTCACAACATCCTTCTTTATATACCTTACAACCGTTGCAAATTTTAACGAACAAAAAATAACAGGGCATCAAGTATTACAACACCAAAGATGACCTCTGCAAACGTGCGTACGTACGTACGTAAAAATTCTTATTCCAAAGCCAGGTAGTTTTTAAATTGATTGCTAACAAATTTGTAAATTAAAAATCACATGATACATATAAATTACTACCTGGCTTTAGAAAAATCGTATGACGCATAATAGATAAATTGATCTGACCGCATTTCAAAAAACTTTGTATTTTATGTTTTCAATTTTTATTATTGTTTACCGATGCATTACAAATAAAATATAAAGATTTTTGAAAGAAAATAAATTTTTTTTTTTTACAAATCTGACCAATTAGATTAAATATTATAGATAGTAACAGCGCTAGACCCATTCTCACCATAACCGATAAGCAGATAGTGAATACATATATATGATACTGTACGTTATATTACTGCAATACTAAAATATTCAATTGTATGTATGATATTGAGTCACGCAAACTTTTAAGATATATATAATAAATGCTAGAAAAAGGTAGTTGTGGCTTTTGAATATACGATAATATGCACACTCATAATAAAGTAATTGATAATATTTTCTATCAAGCAAAGGATCTTATAATGAATACTTTACGTACGCACTATGAACATTTCGGTATGTCCCAAAGTATAAAGAAATCACTCTCAACAGAATAATGGTTACATTATGTGAGATGTCAAGAGTTTTTGTATTAATATAAACCTATAGAAAAACTTTTGTTACGTATAAATAAATAAATAAAATAAATGAATTAATGAAAAATACACTCACCTACTCACAAAGGTTTAAATTTCGATGTTTTTCATATTATCAATTTGTGACCGAGGGACAATCCTCTTTGTAATACATATTCTAATGATTGTTCATTTAAAACAAAGATATCAACTTCAGAACTTGAAACTTATTTGGTTTCTTATTCTCGTGATACTAAATACTAAGCAGACATGTTTACTGCTTTTATAATAAAAACCAGTTTGACGTAACTTTTCATATTGTCTTGTAATTATGGCAATATGTCACAATAGTTCTGGTCTTGCATACTTTGAAGTTACACAAACAATTAGAAAAGTTACCTAAATTTGTTAGTGTAACACCCGACGCGCAATCCAAATCTATAGAAATACCCAACTATTTACCTTTAAGCGTTTATCACAATATTTCAGAACTATCAGGATGGTTTCTTCAAACATAAAACTTCTTTATCATCCAGAATACTATCATGGTGATGGTATTGAAAAAAATTTTTTCGAGGGTTGGTATTTTAAAACAGTATCAAACGATGATAATGAACCATTTATCGTTATAGTGGGGATTTATCGTGCTCCTTCGAGCAGTAATAACAATGAATCCCACGCTTTTGTAATGGTCCTTCTTTCCGGATTTGATTGTCTATATTATCGATATGACGTTAGCGAATTTGAAGCGAGTTCAAGTTCTGATATGGACTTTTATGTAAAGATCGGTAATAATAAATTTCAAAAAAGTGGTATAACACTTGATCTTCCCTCTTCGCGACTAATAAAGCCTTCTGATAAGGAATATGAAGAATATTCCGATTTATTAGTTGAAGATTGGGTTAATATAATCAATGTTAAATCATCAAATCATTCTAGTATTGAATCACAATTAGTTGCTTCTCCCACCTTGAAACAAGATCTTTTGAAAAATATCATTCGTCATAAATTTATTTCATATTCTATACATGGACATATTTATTTTGATAAAATGGTACCATTTCTTACCACATATGCTTTTCCAAGTGTTATGGGACCCTTCGCCTACATTCCTTTCTTAGAATGTAATCATGGACTTTTAAGTATAGATCATAGATCTCAAGGCAATATAGAGTTAATTAATGAAGAGAATAAAGATGATTTCAAAAAAATTATTTTTAAGAATGGACACGGATATATAGAGAAAGATTGGGGTATTGATTTTCCTCGATCTTATATTTGGGCACAAACCAATAATTTCAAGAATGAAAAAGGGTCTTCAATATTAGTAAGTATAAACATTTAATTTATTTACCTATCTATTTATTTATTATTCACTAATTTATAATAATATATTTTTTTAAAAAAAAACTACATTATGTTTTAAAAGTTTTCTGTAGCAGATGTACCATTTATGTCATCAGATAACCTACTTAGCAAGATTCATTTTCTTAAAAAGTCATTACGTTATCCTGGACGACTAATCATCTTTTACCATGGGAGTACGAATACTACATATAATTTTAGTACTTATACATTATCTTATGTTCGTGAGTTTAATATAGAAATGGACAATTCTGCCATGCAGCATATAAATATATACGTTTCAAATATACAAGGATATCATCTTAAAATTAGCATAAAACGTAGAGCTGGTAGAGGAATTCCCTTACGTGCACCTGTAAAACAATTTGAAAAGATGTTTTTAAGAGTTGAGGAAAGTTTGGACGCTGAAATGTCTGTAAAATTGTGGAAAAAGCAACGAAATCATAATGAAGCTGAAAATGTTATTTTTCATGATAAGTCTATTGATGCGGGATTGGAGGTCGTTGGTAATGTCATGTGGATTGCTAAAAAATATCAAAAATGGTTGATTTGATCCAATCATATTAGAGATGTAAAAAATCTGATGATAATCATGTGAAAATCACATTAAATTTTGAACTTAGTTTCAAAGTTAGTTTTCAAATAGAATAAGTGCAACTTCAATTATTTAGTCTTTTTGTTGCATCGATCAAAATATTCTAGTTAACAATCGTTAGTTAAAGTTTTCGAACTAAATAAGGTTGAAAAAAAAAAAAAAAATTAAAATTTATTGGTTTTGATTTTTTTTATTTATTTATTTTTTTTAAAAAAAAATTTACAAAATTTATCATGTTCTTGCCTAGATGTTTGTCAAAAAAATTGAATTACAGTATTACAATTATTAAAGCTTAGTTTAATATTTGAATCTAATTGAATTAAATAAATAATTGAATTAGATTATATAGTATATATAGCATTTTCTTTTTAAAATTAAGTTTTGAATACATCATTCAGCACATTTGATTAATTCGAAACATTTCTATATACTCTATCGAAAATATTCTTAACTATTGTAATTGCTAATTGATTATAATGATATCTTAAGTAAGTTAATTAAACAAGCCTTTTTATAAAAGTTTATTATTATTATTATTATTATTATTATTATTTAGACTACGCAAACAAATATAATTATTTCTTATTACTCCACTAGGTGATTTTTTTAAAAACTTAAAATTTTATTTATATAAATATATATAATAGTACTAAATTAAAATTTTTATTAAATAAAAATTTAAATAAAATCTAATTTAATATATATATACAGATATTAAATTAATTTGAAATTCATTAATTAAGAATTTTTTTTATTGTTAAAGTGTTTGAAAATTAGATTTTTATTGATATTTATATATATATAATCTTTTACATACTGTATTAGTAATTATAGTAAGTATACAACTAACTACTGTATATACAATTTTAGATTGTTTATTTAATTAGTAGCTGCTATACTTGTAATCTATTTGGCTAATTATATTTACTAAAGTTAAAAAGTCTAAAATATTTCTATCAAAATATTTATTATTGCAAGCAGTTTTTTATTATTTACTTTAAAATTTTGATTATATATAAATATATATATATTTATTAACTTTTTGAAAGTCTTATTGGTATCTTTATTAAAAAATAAAGCAATACAAAACAAGTTTTATAAACTATTTATCCACATATAGCAGATCTAGTATTACTTAGTTTTTTATATAAATAACTACTAATACAACCAGTTACACTACTTTCTAGAAGAAATAAAATACTTTGTTAGCCTGTCAAGAGCCAAACTTTAATTTTTTTATTTAGTTTTTAGCAAAAAAAATTAAAAAGTAAATAACTATATAAATTAAATATAAAATCTAATTATAAAATAATAAAAAAAAATAAATAAAGCTAGACTTAGACTGATAATAACAAAAAAAAAAACAAAAAAAACTTATTAATAAACCAAAAAAAGTACTATTATAGTCTATACTAGGCAAATAAAAATCATATAATAAATATAATATCAGTATATTTTTATTATAAAGCTTGTTTTAATTTATACTTTTTTTTTTAACTATATGATCATCTTTAAATATCTCTTTAACCAAAAACCTTAATTTTATTATAAAATAATACTATATTTATAAATAACAAAATATATAATTGTAGTTTACTAAATAAAGATTTGACTCATTTATCTGCCAACCTGTAATCTGTAATTTTGATATCTAACCTAAAGTAAGTTAAACTTAATTGGTTAATCTAATTAATAGTTATTCTTTTTTTTTACTTTTTATTAAATTTTTTTTTATTTATCATATGCTTATAAGTTTATAAATTTTTTAGAACTTAATTAAACATCACACCCTGCGAAATAAATATTTTTTGCATTCAGAATATAATATAATTATTTATCGCTTTTTAGATTAAACTATAATAATTTTGAATCTAATCTTTTCTAACAAAATTTGTTAACATTATATAAAATATTGGCTAAATTTGTTAAAATTTTTATTTGCAGTTAAAAACTTGTATTTTATAGAACTATTCTGGTACAACTATTCGAGTTGTTTCAAGCTATGTGAAAATTAGCCTTATATTTAACAATAATAAAATAGCAATAATAAATCAATATGATACTAGTTATTACAGCTTAACTAAGATCAAATATATCACAAAAAATTAATTTATAAATCGAAAATTGCATTTTTGCTTATTCTACAATAACAAAAAATAGACAATTGGCTATAGACATAGTTAATGAAATACAAATTCAAAATGCTAATGCTAATTACATAGAATAAAAGAGTTTGTACTACAATATGAGAAGCATGGCGGATATTCGATTTGATTGGCTTGAAGATCCCTGAGTTACACAACATAAATAAAATTTTTTAAAATAACCCTTACTATATAAAACCACATTGTCAATTGGCAACTTGTAGTTTCACACAATAAACTTTTTTAAAACATCTTAAAAGTATTTTTTACCTCTTTGTACGTCTATAGTGAAAAAAGATCAGTATAGATCATTATTACTGAAGACTTTACTTAGAGAACAAAATTAGATGAATTGCAGTAGATAATATATAACAAACGAGATAATAAGCTTTCAAATTCAAAAAAAATTTAACTAACTACAAATTTTTTTTCTAACAAGGAGAAAGAACTAATAAGACAGGGTATGTTGGTTTGTGAACTTGCTTTTCCGATTTTAATTCCAGTGATTAACGATCTTTTATATTCACAAGCTTAATGATTTTTTTTTAATTCCACGATTGATGATCTTATATTGGTTGCTTTTCTGATTTTAATTCCAGTAATTAATGATCTTTATTTATATTCATAAGCTTAGTGAAATTAATAACGCGAATTTACTTGAAAGCATATATAATGGTAAGTAGATATTTATACTCTTGGTTTGTGAGCTTGGTTTTCTAATTTTTTTTGCGACTTACTGGAACCATTTCAGATTAAAAATATTCTGTAGTTATTCTTATTTTTGGCAAAAAGATAGTAGTAATTTTCTAGAAGTATTCACTAACTATCTACTTGACTAGCCAGGATAGCATCAATTAAATCGTCTCTTTCTATAGCCAGTAAAGTTTGACTATCAATGGTTTTATTTAAAGTATAAAAGGTAAAATTATCAACAAGAGGTTGATGGTCTTTTTTATCAGCTCATTTTTCTGTGATAACAGCTTGAAGGCATTTTTGGAGAAAAGTGTAGCAGTAGTTAAATTTAGTGATTAGCAATCTTCATGTTCACATGCCAAATGAAATAAATAGCGCAACAAAAATGGCATATTGGTTTGTAAATTTGCTTTTTCGATTTAATTTAATATATATGTAGATTATTTTCTACAAATGAATAGTCTATAAATGCACTTTACCAAACAATATACATTTATGGGAGGCTGACCGTATTGGATTTAGAAAATCTACTCTTATTTCGAAATAATGTGCAGGTGGACTTATTTCGTGCTTATATGGTAATGGTTGGCAAGTACTTATGTTCTTATTACCAAACAACGTGCATTTATGGAAGGCTGACCATATTGGATTTAGAAAATCTACTCTTATTTTGAAATAATGCACTTGGGCATGTTCGAAATAATGCACAGGTGGACTTATTTCGTGCTTATACGGTAATGGTTGGAAAGTACTTATATTCTTATTTTATAACTTGTTATTTTGATTTTAATTTTCTAATTAACAATCTTTAAATTTACAAGCTGATGTAGCGAATGACAAAATGTAATAGTAAGTACTTACATTCTTGATTATTTTTCTGATTTTAAGTCACTAATTAGAGATCTTACACTAGGTAAAATAAATAACACGAACAAATAACTTGAAGCGTTATGTAATGGTCAGCAAGTACTTATAACTTTAGTTTGTGATTTGTTTATCTGATTTTAATTCCACTACTTACCAATCTTTAAGTTCACAAGCCTAATGAAGTGAATAACTTAAAACAGCAATATATCATATAATACGGCTTTATTCAAAATGGTGCGGTTACAAAGAAAGATATTCAAAAGGCAAATTATTTGGTTCACAAAATATAGAAGTCTTTTGAAAACTAAAAACTACCTGATCACATCAATCCCAAACTTAAGAGAATTTGGGTAATAAAAATTTAATTATAAATTATCGTAGAAGAGAGAAAAGGAGGATTTGCAACTATATATAGTGCAATTTGTCTCAATAGAATTAATAATGCGTGGTAAGATGCTGCACTTAAAGTGATTTGTGATTCAAACAAAAATATATCTGGGAATTGAAGAATCACTGAAATTGGTTATGAGAATTCTTTGTTTTTGAACTGTAAGAAATAATCATAGCGATTATATTATTATTATGTCAGATTGCAACAAAAGGTTCTCTATAACAAAATCTTGTAAAAGTATCACAATAAGAATAGAAAGATAAATTGAATATTTTGTATAATATAGCTTTGGATCTTGAACTAATTCATATGCAGAAACTCATTCGCAGAGATTTACACTGCAGGAATATTTGCAAACTTTTGCTTTGCATAACACATATATCACTGCACTGATCTTGAACTTTCAGAAAAGTAATGGATGAATATAATGGTAAGTAGATATTTATATTCTTGATTTGTGAACTTACTTTTTCTGATTTTAAGTTTACTGATTAATATCTTTATGTTTATATACTGGATATAACAAATAACTTGAAGAGCATTATATAATATCCGGTAAGTGCTATGGTCTTAGTATGTAGCTTGTTTTTTTGCTTTAATTTCACTATTTGATTATTTAATTCACAAGTCTGAGCAAATAATTTAATGGTCATTATGTAATAGTAAGTATATAGATAGTTATGTTTTTGATTTGTGAACTTATTTTTTTTAATTTAAGTCCACTGATTAATGATTTTTATGTTTATACATCGGATAAAATAAATAATATGAACAAAATACTTTTGAAGGCTTACTATGTAATGGACAATACCATAAAGTGCCATATACAAGACCCGGTCTGTTACATTTTACTAATTTTTAAA